TGGGAGCATTTTAATTACTGATTTAATTTTCTTTCTTTCTTTTTATTCACAGTGGAATTGTCTCTGAGGATTAGTTTTCTTACTAGTTTTTGGTGTGTTCAGATTTCTATTTCTCTGTGATTCAGTCCTGGCCAATCATATGTCTCTAGGAATTCATCCATTTGAATTAGGTTGTCTACATCATTGGCATATAATTGTTCATAGTACTCTCTTATATTCCTTTTTTCCCGTAGAATCAGAATTAGTAGATTCTGTAGAATCTGATTAGTTTTTTAAGATTTCTCTCTTTTTTTCTTAGTCAATATAGCTAAAGATTTGTGAATTTTGTTGATTTTTTTTTGGGGGGATCCAATTCTTGATTTCATTGAGTTTTCTCCATTATTTTTCTCTTCTCTGTTTTATATATCTCTCATCTTTATTTCCTTCTTTCTGCTAGCTTTGGGTTTAGTTTGATTTTTTCCGAGTTTCTTAAGGTGTAAGTTTAGGTGGTTGATTTGAGGTCTCTTTTCTTTTTTTATGTAATTGTTTACAATGATAAATTTCCCCTTTAACATGGAATTTACTGCATCCCATAAATTTTGATGTATTGTGTTTTCATTTGTCTCACGATAATTTCCTTTGGGATTTCTTCTTTGACTCATTGGTTGTTCAAGGGTATGTTGTTTAATTTCCATATATTTGGAGATTTTCCAGTTGTCCTTCTGCTCTGGACTTCTAGTTTCATTCCCTTATGATTGGAAAAGACACTTTGATACTTCGTGTGAGTTCAGTTTTCTTAAATTTATTAATACTGGTTTTATGGCCTAACACAGTCTATCCTGGAGAATGTTCCATATTCACATTTCATTGAGAAAAGTGTGTATTATTCTGTTGTTTGGTGGAGTGTTCTGTACATGTCTGTTTAGGTCCAGCTGGTCTGTGGTGGTTTTCAAATTCTCTTTCCTTATTGATCTTCTGTCTGGTTGTTGCATTCATTATTCACAGTGGGGTGGGTGTTAAAGTCTCCAACTGTTACCATAGAGCCATGTATTTCTTTCTTTCCTTTTTGTGTTTTCAGAGGTGGGATTGCGCTCCGTTACCCAGGCTGGAGTGCAGTGCCACGGTCATAGTTCACTGCAGCCTTGACCTCGCGGGCTCAATCGATCCTTCTGCCTCAGCCTCCCCCAGAGTAGCTGGGACTATAGGCATGTGCCACCACGTCTGGCTAATTTTTAAATTTTTTGTTTTGTTTTGTTTTTTAGACTCGGGGTCTTGCTATGTTGTCTGGGCTGGTCTTAAACACCTTGCCTCAAGCAGTCCTCCCACCTCAGCTCTCCAAGTCTCTGGGATTAGAGGCATGAGCCACTGTGCCCAGCTGAGCTATTTCTTGCTTCAGTTCTGTCACTGTTTGCTTCGTATATTTTAGGAGCTTTGTTGTTTGGTACAGCGTGTTTATAATTGTTCTTTCTTACTGATTTGACCCTTGTATCATTATATAATTTGCTTCTTTGTGTCTTGTTACAGTTTTTGACTTGAAGTCATTTTGTCCGATATTAGCATAGCCACCTCTGCCCTCTTTTGTTACTGTTTGCATGGAATATCTTTTTCCTTTCGGTTTCAACCTATACATGTCCTTAAATCTAAAGCGAGTCTCTCATAGATAGCATATAGTTGGATCCCGCCTTTTTGTTTTTTAATCATTCTGCCAATCTATGTCTTTTGATTGGGGAATTTTAATGCATTTACAAGTAATTACCGATAGGAAAGGATTTACTATTGCCATTTTACTCGTTTTCTGTATGTTTTATAGCTTTCTTGTCCCTTATTTCCTCCCTATTGCCTTCAACTGTGATTTTTTTTTTTAGTGACATATTTTGATTCTTTTCTTAATTTCTTTTTATTTATATTCTACAGATATTTTCTTTGTGGTTACATGGGGATTACCTATAACATCCTCAAGTTATTACACTGTCTCTTAAACTGATACCAACTTAACATCAATTGCATACATAAACTCTACTTCGGCTCTTCCTCTGAACTTTGTTGTTGATGTCACAAATTATCTTTTTATATCATATACCTATTAACATAGATTCATAATTATTTTTATGCTTTTGTCTTTTAAATCCTGTAAAAAGAAAAAGTGGAGTTACAAACCCAAATTACACTAATACAGTATTTTTTTTTTTTATTTGTTCATGTATTTACCTTTACTTGAGAACCTGTTTTTTTCTTTTTTTTCTTTTTTGGCTTCGAGTTTCTGGCTGGCATCCTTTTATTTTAACTTGAAGGACTCCCATTAGCATTTCTTATAGGGCAGACTTAGTGATAATGAACTCCCTCGGCCTTAGTTTTTCTGGGAATATCTTAGTTTTTCCCTCATTTGTGCAGAATAGTTTTGCCAGATAAAGAATTCTTGGTGGACAGTTTTTCTTTTATTCTTCCAGCACTTTAAATATATCATGCCCCTACCTCTGGCCTGCAGAGTTTCTGCTGAGAAATTCACTGGTAATCTTACTGAGGCTCCCTTGTATGTGATGAGTCTCTTTTATCTTGCGGCTTTCAAGATTCTCTTTTTGTCTTTGACTTTCAAACCATTTGTTTATAAAGTATCTCAGTGTGAGTCTCTTTGGGTTTATCCTACTTTGAGTTCATTCATCTTTTTATACTTCTATGTCTTCCCGCAAATACGGCAAATTTTGGGCCACTGTTTCTTCAAATGAGCTCTTTGCCCCTTTGTCAGAAGCAAAGACATTTTTTAAAATTCATATAATCTGAATGCCCATTTCGGAAGGGCCTCCCTGAGCCCAGCCCCTTCTGCTGAGATGAGTCTGGGTTGCCCTCTAGTTGCCCCAACCTCCGTGAGCTCTTAGCATGTGCTCAGACTGGTCCTGTGCCGCCAGCTGTCTCCCCTGACACCCTTAGGACCTCTGTTCCCTCTGCCTCGATGGAGACCTGCTCCCCCCCGGGGCCCCTCCTGGGTGGCGAGAAGCATGCCTTTCTGGCCACACGTGAGTCAGGCTCCTCTGAGCCTCTCCCCAGTTTGGCTGCTGGCCCTGTTCTAGCAAAGAGCCTGCCGCACCAGCTCACCAAGAACCCACACCCTGATCTCCAGCGTACCCCCCTTTCCACTCTTCACACCTTACCAGGTTGCCCCTGACCCCCGCAGCTGAATTCCTCTTAGGGGTTTCCATCCACTCCCCTACCTGCCCGTTGGCATCTGGTCCCACTCATCCCTGGTGTATTCGGAGTTGAGTTCAGTCTCTTTCTACCCCCCCACCCCCCATTGCAGTGCTCTTGGATAAGGTCTTCCTTTCTCCCTGACAGTGGCCTGCTGGTGGGGACTGTCCACTGGCCTGGCCAGCGTGCTGCTTCCCCTCTGACCTGCCCCGTGTCCTTCCCCTGACACTGGCTCAGTTGATCCATCTGTCCCCTGCAGTCCTGGGAAATGTATCGTCCAACGGTCTTCTCTGCACCAAATCCCACCACCACCTGGGCGGGTTTCAGCATCCATGTTGGATGACTGATCCGAAACCCAAGCCTCTCAGTTTGGGGATGGCTTCGGCTCCAGTGACCTTCACCTCCACTCCACTCCAGCTCCCCCTGCATGCTCCAGATGCACTCAGATCTTAACCCTTTCACAGCCCGCCTCCCGCAGTGCTCTTTCCCTCCACACCTCCTCTCCCCCCACTTCTCTGCATCTCTGACGCCCCCAGCCCCCACCCTCCCTCTGTCCTGCTTGGTCCCGTCCCTTCCCTGTGCGCCCTTCACTCGGAACGTGCTCCTGGATGCCAGTGAGGAGCCGGGGGAGTGTTTTCATGCATGGCGAAGGCTGGGCTGCTGCGTGTACTGTACAGGTTATAGATTTTTACACTTACTTTAACTGCTTTACAGAGGATGAAAAGAAAACACTTTCAGGAAGGAATGCCTTTTCTGACTCATACCCAGGGGTCACATGGGCCAGCAGCAGCCCCGTTATCTGATGTGATCAGTACCAAGGGTCAATTAATAGAGAACGTGGGTTAAAACGGCACACGAGCACCTGTGGGTCTCAGTGAACACGCACCTGTACAGCAGGTGTGGCCTCAGGTGCTCAGCATGTCACCGGATCTGCTGCCATCTTTGCTCTGCCTCCTTCCCTTGTTGTCCCTGCAAGGACACCTGAGGTGGGTATCGTGCCCATACTCAGGAAGAGTAGACTGAGGCCTGGCAAGTCGGTGATGCATCCCAGCCGTCGATCATGCTGAAGACAAAAAGGATCCCCTTTTTCGTAAAAAGAAAAATAATTGTCAAGTTTGTTAGCACTAGGCACATTTTTATATTTTTCTCCTTGGAGATCAGGAACTTAATGAACTGAGTATAAAGGAACTAGGAAAATATATTCACTTTGAAACCTTTTCTTATTTATAACTTGAATTTTTGCTGACAGTGCTATGCTGTTAGGCGCCAACTACCACTTTTGAAGGAGAAAGCTGTATTTCTGATCTCATTTTTTATCCTAAGAGAAGAGAGCGATGTATTCCTTAGACGGGATGATTTTGCAGAGGCGAGGTTGGGGGTGGTGGTGGTCAGTGGAGATGTGCTGGCTGGAGGGGACAGAGGGAATTGTAGGGGAGGGAACCTGGCCTGCGGCCCAGATTCACAGCAGGAGGCCTTGCCTGAGATCTTTGCATGAGCTTGAGAGCTGGAGATGGCCTTGAAATGGCCAGCAGCCTGTGTGCGTGTGCGGCTCTGTGTGCACGCAAGTGGGCGTGGGCTCACACGTCTGCGCGTGGGAGGAATGGTCCGTGACACCCATCCAGTTCTCAGACGGACCTGTGCCCCCCCACCTCTCTTCCTCCTCCCCACAAAAAAAGGCTGAGTCCCTGTTTGGAAAGTCGAGCAGAATAATTTGTTTTGATGCCGATGAAGTGGTGTTTTCTGATTTCTCTCCCGAGAAATCAGACTGCCTTTCCCAGGCAGGACTGACCTGGCCGTGGGCCCTGTCACACCTCCCTGTTTTCCTTTTCTCTTCACCCGAGGCCAACACTGGACAAATCGGTGACCTCCAGGAGCAACACAGAGTCATCAGCAGCAACCTTGCCCTCGTTCAGGTGAGTCTCCGCCCTGCAGGACTGATGAAGCTCCTTCCCCTGTTGAATCTGCAGCCAGGCCTGGCCAGGCAGGAAGGGCGAAGGCTGGTGGGTCCTGTCCCCGCACTCGGGACTGAACGTGGAGGACAGGCAGCCACCTGTCCACCCTGCGCCCACCACACCACGCTCAGGCAGCACCAGGCCCCCCTGAAGTAGTTGCCTCTTCTGGGGCCCAAGGTCCCTCCAGCTCCCCCAGTCCCTTCTTTGCAAGCCAAATGTCTTTACGGGGGGGTCACCGGCACTTTCCCCTTTCTCATTGCCGACGCGCTGGCGGGCTTCTCGCTGCGCTTCCCCAGGCCAAAGAGCTCGCCTGATGTACTCGTCCTGTGCCTCTCACACGTGATCCTTCTTACTCCTCCTGGGGCATCCGCGGACCCCCCAGCCTCTCTGCCAGTTCCTCCTCAGCCTTTGAGGGGACTCTCAGCTCCTCAAGTGCTTCACGCTCCTCGCAGACTCGTGTGTCCTTCTGCCAGGCCCCCGTTTGGCCACGTTCTCATCCCGGGAACTGGCTACGGAGTAGTGCAGAGTCAGGGGGCCCACGGTGGGGCAGGCAAGGCAAGAGGGACGCCTGGGCCCGGACCTGGGCAGGAGGAAGCCTTGTCCAGCACCTTCTGGGCCTCTCGGGGTGGGGGCAGCCCGTGGCAGCACAGAGAACCTGGACCCTGGGATCAGAAAGTGCATCACCTGCCGGCCACATGGCCTTGGGCAGGGCTGTACCTCCCTGTCCATTGAATTGGGATGGTAACCGCTCTGGATCTCACTTGGGTTCTGGAACCTCTACGTCTGACTCTCAGACGGCACGGCCAGCCCGGTTTTGTTGTCCCTGACTCAGTCTGGGGTGGAGCTGAAAGCTTGCTCCGGCGGCCAGGAGCTGAGGGACCCGGGGCAGGTCCCTTCACTGTATCTGTGAGCAAGTGGTGGTGAGGTTGTGACACGTGGGCTGGCCCTGGCCGGCACGCGGACATCACCCCATTGCGTTGGCTGTGCCTGGTCCTTCCCGTGTGACCAAGCGAGAAGCCCAGTGGCCCCCAGCTGCTTCCTGACGGGCAGCCACTGTGAGGACGCTGCTTCCAAACTGTGCTTGAATCCAGCTTGCTCTTCCCCCTCCTCCTCGCCCCCCTCCTCCACCCCTCCCCTCCCCCCAACCTTGGCCGTTCCTCCCTGGCCTGGGGGACTGCAGACCTCCGTTCTGTTCCCGCTGCTCCTCTACCTCAGCCTCTGCATGGCCACCTGGGTGGCCTTTTGCAAAACCCGAAGCTGGTTCCCCTCCTCCAAGGCTGGGCCTCACCCCGCCCCTGCCACCCTCACCCCCCAGCCTCACGTCCAGCTTTGCCCCTGCAGCGGTCTCTCCTCGGAAGGTGCTTTCTCTTCTTGCCCAGCTGCCACGGAGCTCTTTATGAGCTCCACTCAGGTCTGAGTTTCCGCCTGGCGCCAGGTACGTGTACTTTGGTGCCGTGGTGGTTGCAGTTCGGTGTCAGACGCCCGCCCCGTGTGCCTGAGGGCCGTCCCGCCCCAGCGCCCCGTCCTGCGGCTGAGGAGCCGCAGACTCGAATGCAGCCCACCAAAGGCCTGGCGAGGGGCAGGTCCCGAACGCCCCTGCGGCGGGTCACAGTGGTTGTGCCTCTGCCTTACACCGAGTCCGCTCTCAGCAAGTGTTTACTTAGTCCGGGCCAGGCACCGGCTTGGCGCATGGTCCGGATCACAGCGGGGGTGTGATTTCGTCTCCTCCGTTTTTAAAAAGTCTTAATTAACATGGCATTAGCAATGGCGAGTTTCATTCACTGGACGTTTTAACAACGTCAGCCTATTCTGTCATACGAGTGTGGGGACTCCGCAGCCACCAAGAGCTGGGCCACCAGGAGCCCACTCAGCGCCTGCCCGCCCACTCCCCTCAGCTCTGCCACCCACGGGCCCCGGGGGCTTCTCGGTCTTTGACTTACTTGACCAATTACAGCGTGATGAAAAGCACGCTGCTTGAGAAATCACACGGCGGTGAAATCACACTGCAGTTTCGCACGAATCTCTTAGGATGATTTCCCACAAGCTCAGAGCGTATGAAGAATTTAAAACTCTAGATTTTCCTTCCGAAGGACTGCAAAATATTTGAATTCTTAAATGAAAATTCAGCATTAATATTTGAGTCGTGTTTGAGTCTCTTTCTCTATAACCTCACCAGCAGCGAAAGTATTCTTCTAAGCTATTTTTCGTATTCACTGTATGTATGTATTTGCCCACAAATAATATATGCTTTTCTGTTTTTTAACGTAAAAAGTTTTATGCTGCATATAGAATGTAATTCTGCACCTTGTACTTTCTCTTAGTAATGACTAATTTAGAGCGCGGCAGATGGCACTCAGTGAATATTAGCTGCTAGTCGCTTGTACACACATGCAAATGTTTCTTTGGGAAAGTTGCTGGCTCATAATGGGTGTATGGGTAAGTTGCAGCCAGATTTCACCCCCCAAATTCCTGTACCATTATAACCACCCTTAATGTATAAGAAAACCATTGTCCCACATGTTTTTAGGTAAGTATTTTGTCCACCTTTTCCACCTTAATCTTAACTAGTCTAATAAGTAAAAAAGCGTATCTCATCTGTCATCCGTGGAGCACACCTGAGTGCCTGCAGAGAGCTGGGCTCTGTGCTCAGAGCTGGGGACACCAGGAGAAAACAAGACAGCGCTTAAGACCAACGTCAGCTACAAACGCACGAGACACCTCTAAATCGGGATTTGATGTGGAGTTTTCCTAATTACGAGGGAAGTTGCTCCTCCTTTGGCATGCGTCACGGCCTTTCGAGGTTCCTTTTCTGTGAATTGCCTGTCCGTATCCCGTGTGCATTTTTCTATCAGGTTTTATTATTATTATTATTCGTGATTTTTAAACTTCATTATTCTGGACACGAATCCTGCATTTCTTTTTCCCGATGGATTTTTCTCGGTGTGTCTTTAGAAGAAGGCCTTCCCTAGTCAAAATGCTTAAACGTATTATTGTATTCAATTATGTTTTCTTTTATTTCGCACTTCGGGTTTTTATGTTTAGGATATGTATGTTTTCCCTGAACCTACACATACACATTTCCTTACCCCGTTCATTCAGTATTCACTCATCCCATCCTGATTTGTAATGCCGCCTTTATCGTAGTAAATTCTCCTCCATTCCTGACTAAATTTTCATGTATTGTTGTATATTCCTGATTCTGTTCTTGGACTCTGCCCTGCTGATCTAGTTTCTACTTCTGCCAGTCGCACACTGCTTTCGATCCTAGTAGCTTTAAAATACACATCGAGGCCAGGTGCGGTGGCTCCCACCTGCGATCCCAGCTATTCAGGAGGCTGAGGTGGGAAGATCACTTGAACAGCCCAGGAGTTTAAGATCAGCCTGGGCAACACGGCAAGACCCTGTCTCTAAAAGAAAAACAAAAACCCACATTGATAATAAATATCTCCGAACTCCCTCTTCGACCTTTCTCAAAATTGTCTTGAGTAATTCTCACATGTTTACTTATCTTCGTAAAACTTAAAATTTGTCAAGTGCCATGAAAAATCTTGTTGGGACTTTGACTAAAATTACATAGGTTAACTTGGGGAGCATTTTTTCATCTTTAAAAAACTCGCTCTTCTCTTCACTGTGCATGGTTGAGCTCTTTGCTTCTGCAGCCTTCTTTGATAACATGACGTGACTTGTTTCCGGGTCGGCATTTGAATCAGAGTTGCCAGTTTTGGTGTCCAAGTTGGGGCACCTCCCGGCATGGGCTCTGGACGGGCCCTGCAGAGGCGCATGCTTGGCGGGACAGAGACTGGAAGGCAGCCTGGGGTGGGAGAGGGTGAGAGCAGGGAAAGACAGGGAAGAGACCAACGGTGTGCAGAGGCCTCCGGGGTTGTTGCTGCGGATCGTGG